CCTGTCAGCCACAGACCCCTGCAGCCACTTAACGCCCTGATAAGGAGGTACCGGGGACACTGGGGCCACTGGGACCAGAGCTCAAGGTCGATTGTTGCCCTGCCAACAGCCGATGCGCCAAAGCACCTCCAAAAACAAGGCAGGAGCAATTGGAATACGACATCTTGGTACCCTGGCACCAAGCGAAGGCCAACGAGTACTTCGTACACGACGCAAACGTATTTCCCGCAAACCCGTGCCTTTTCTACCTAACCGCCAGGAATGTCATCCGAGTCGCGAACATTCCAGTGCAACGGCGACTAGGTTACTTTCACCCAACGAGGACGACTTTTTGCGACAAAATAGAAGATGGCGCCCGGTGAATCTTCGAGACCATCGTCGCATCGACCACGAGACTCATCGGGCAGGAAACACCACAACAAGAAACGACGATCACGCGCAGAAGGATCTAGACGACCGGCCACAGATTCCGGCGAAAGCAGAGACGAGAGAAGGTCACAATCGCTGTCCGTGGATGCGTTAGCAAAGCTGAACCAGGATAACGTCAAGAGGCAAAAGAGAAGGGAAAAGAAAGAAAGAAGTGCGGGTGCTGGCAGGCCATCGAGGGACGCCGATGCAGACGCAGACGCAGAGCGGCGGGAGAGACGGAGGGCACGACGCGAAGCAGCCTACAGAGATGCGCCCACAGAACGACCAAAGCGGGTGCGGCGAGAGGTGGATACGGAGGCAGTCTACGAAAAGCCCAGGAGGGAACACAAGCACAAAAAGAAACGGGTGGTCAGTGGCGCGATTATGGAGGAGGGACGGTCAAGAGGCCACTTGAGAGGCGGAGGGTGGAACAGCTCTGACCACAGCTTCGAGAAGGAGTATCTCATGGAGGACCCTCCAAAACCCGTCAAGAAGCGGAAGAAGCTTTGTAGGTTGCTTTGAATCGGGAGCTGGAGACGTTGACTAACTGGCCATCAGGGATATGTCTCAGTGTCTCATTAGTGCTTCTCATCATCATCATTGTGGTGGCTGTGGTGGTCAGCAAGAACAATAACAAGAGCAGCAACACGAAAACGACCCTCGACGACGGAAATAAGGACAGCGTCCCGATGAAGTGGCGCGGCACCTACCTCGATCCGTGGTCATGGGATGACACAACCGATTTCAACGTCACATTCACGGAGCAGATGGTCGGCGACCTGCCCGTCATGGGTCTCTATACCGACTGGGACGACTCGAAACGGGCAAACGACAAGGTGCCGGCGCTCAAAGACGCCTGGGGCTCCTACGGCTCGCGGCCCGCCCGCGGCGTCAACGTCGGCGGCTGGCTAAACCTCGAGCCCTTCATCACCCCTTCCCTCTTCAACTACGACTCCCGCCTCGGCATCATTGACGAGTACACGCTCTGCAAGCACCTCGGCACCAAGCAGACGGCCGAGGTCCTCGAGAAGCATTACTCGACTTTCGTCACCGAGTCCACCTTCAAGGAGATCGCCGACGCCGGCCTTGACCACGTCCGCATCCCCTTCAACTACTGGGCCGTCGAGGTCTACGACGGCGACCCCTACCTCTTCCGCACCTCGTGGCGCTACCTCCTCCGCGGCATCGAGTGGGCGCGCAAGTACGGCCTCCGTGTCAACCTTGACGTCCACGGCCTCCCGGGTAGTCAAAACGGCTGGAACCACTCGGGCCGTCAGGGCGCCATCGGCTGGCTCAATGGCACCGACGGCGCGACCAACGCCCAGCGCAGCCTGGATATGCACGACCGCCTCTCCAAGTTCTTCGCCCAGGACCGCTACAAGAACATCATTGCCTTTTACGGTCTCGCCAACGAGCCGCGCAACGTGGACCTCAACAACGCCGATGTGGTCTCGTGGACCGCGCAGGCCTACAAGCTCGTCAAGGGCAACGGCATCGGCGGCGTCGTGGTGTTCGGCGACGGGTTCATGGGCCTGGCCAACTGGCAGGGGAAACTGACGGGCTACAGTGACCTCGCGCTCGACGTACATCAGTACGTCATTTTCAACACCGACCAAATCGTTTACACGCACAAGAAGAAGGTCGAGTACGCCTGCAGCGGGTGGACGGAGCAGACGGAGCAGTCGATGGACACCTCCACGGGCTACGGCCCCACGCTCTTCGCCGAGTGGTCCCAGGCCGACACGGACTGCGCCAAGCACCTGACCAACGTCGGCTGGGGCAACCGGTGGACGGGCACCTACAACACGGGCAACGCGACGACGTCGATCCTCGAGCCGCGGTGCCCGACCCAGGACTCCAAGTGCGACTGCGACACGGCCAACGGCGACGCGGGCGGCTTCAGCAGCGACTACAAGAAGTTCTTGCAAATGTTTGCCGAGGCGCAGATGCACTCGTTCGAAAAGGGGTGGGGGTGGTGGTACTGGACGTGGGACACGGAGAGCGCGCCGCTGTGGAGTTACAAAAAGGGCCTCGCGGCCGGGATCCTGCCGGCCAAGGCGTACGATCGGGACTTTGACTGCTCCGGGACCGTGCCGGACTTTGGGAGCTTGGCGGAGACCTACCGGATGTGAGAGGGAATGAAACGGACGGAAAAATGAGTCAACTTTCGGAAGTTCCGTACCGGAGGTCCGGAGGTGAGGTGCTTTGTGAGTGGGCCTAGTTGTGCGGCTCTGTTGACGACGTGCATTGTGTTGTCCGACGACATGCGTACCGGGGGTTTTATATATGTGTGTTATCTTGCATGTAACGGGCGTTTTGTTTGTTTTTTATTTCTCATCTTTATTGTTTTTCTTGTCATTTACCCCCTGTTTTCGGGGGTCAAGAGTTCAGCAAACTGCATTTTCAAACCCAACGAAAGCGAGAAATATCGGTATACTAGAAAGAGTAGCGGGCTCATCATGATGATGATCATGTAAGTAAACAGAGGTACGAAGGAAAAGATGGAAAGGGGCCTCATGTATGATAATAACGCTTATGGAGACTGCACATGATTTCACCTCCATCAGAGTAGATAGATAGAGGAAGAAGGAAGAAGGAAATGACGAAAAAATCACGGGTTATCGAGGATTATCTGACCTACCTGCCTCCTTGCACTGCCCCAAGTTGTTGGTGAGCTTCAGTGTTGTAAATCATAGGCATTTAGTAGTGAACGTTTTAGATTACCAATCCTCATCGTAACTCCGTGGGATACTCAGCTTAAAGGATCTCCACGCCTCAAATCACAAATCAAAACACGTGGATTCCCTTACTCTCAATCCCATCTGAGCTAAGCCACCCCCAAAGGCCCCGATCGGCGAGCCGGCGCCGCGGGGAGAAAAGGCCCAAATATTGGAGTGTCTGTCTGTGTGTGGCAAGCTGTCAGAAAAATTGGCAATGCGCACAGACACTGGGCAGGAGACCAAGATAACGGTCTCGCCCGGCGCCGGGAAAAGCTGCCGACAATTCAATGTGGCTGACAACCCTCTCGCGGCTTCGGCCCTCTACACAAGAAGCGAAAGTGACAATCCAGTGTTTTTTTGCTGGGCCTGCAACATGCGAAAGCGGGGATCGATCACCTCAAGAGCCCACATGCTGGGCAGTCTGAACTCTGAACCCATCTAGTCAGATCTCAAGATGGACAGAGTCGGAAGCTAGCCAAAGTATGATAGATGGGAGAGGACCACCAAGCTTATCGCGAATTCGCACGTCCTCTGCGAGTCTGTGGTCGGTGAACCATTCCATCGGGCCGCGTCTAACAGCCGTGGAGTGGAACTCCGCCAAGACGGGCTGGGTTTCTACTCAGCACCACATCTCGACGTATGTTGCTCGAACAGTCGACAGATCAAGGTTACAGGGCCAATTTTAGCACCTGCGACTCGTTGCAGGAGTGACAAGAGGTGGCAGGCGCCTCCTGTCTCAAATGATCCCAGGTTCCAGACGCCGAGGATCCCCCCGTCTCTTCCCGCTGCCGCCAGCTGAATGAGAAACCGCGACTTGTGAAATGTCTGGAATGAGCCAAAAAGGTCGTGGTGAATCTCGGCTCTTCCGACGTCATATCCATGACGGTTTATTTCCGAGAGAACCCCGTCCCTTCTGTCACCCTTTCGGCCAACGTAAGTGCAGCCAAAAGATAATAACAATACTAATAAAATGTTAGCAATCGAAAACTCGCGCGAACTAACGCCGAATAGCTCGAGACCCCTTCTCATTGGACCCTTCCATCCGCTCTCGCAAGAATAGGCTGTTGGCTCCGATGCAGAACTGGAAGATCCCCAAGGTAATGTAGGGTCCAACGCAGCGTCATCCATCCCACAGTTTTGTCACCCATCCAGGGGGCTCTATGACACACCTGCATGCCCCTCTCCATCTCCTCTCCTCTCCTCTCTTATTCCCTTTCGCCGCGATGACGAGATCCACCCTAGTCCGCGGTGTGCTTCCTCTCGAAAGAGCGAACCGCGTTCTGGGCTGAATAATCGTCGAGAAGTGCATGGGAAAAATTGCCAAACGGGTCGCGCCGTCTAGCCATCCGGTCGTCTTTGACTAATGCGTGTGAATGGATGCGGTGCCGATGGCGCGAGGTCCCCACTATCCCATCCACTTCGAGGTCCTCGCGCCTTTCTTTGCCTTGTTATCGGGAAAACTGCAAAATCCATGAAAAAGAGGTCCTCTTCCATGAACAGACTCGTCCCTTTCACTGTTTCTTCTTCTGCGTCTTTGAAACAATCGGAAGAGTTGCAGTGAGAGAGGAGCCGTTTCTCCCACTTCCAAATAAAAACCACTGCCCTGCACATACCTCCGTTCGCAGTAACGCCCAGCCCAGCAACAGACTGATCTGATCCTGTCACGATCCACACGACCGCTGGAACTCGGAACCAGGCCCATAATAACCACGCGGGATATCCGTACAAATATCCGACATCCGCAATCGGCCGACTGCTGCGCCCTTGATATCAAGTCGTTATCAAGCGGCCCTGAGTAAGACCTAAGTTGAAGAAAAAAAAATTGTCGAGGATCGTTGCTGCTTTTCTCCCTTGCGGCGTTTGACGATAATCATGACGAACGAAGTCGAAAAAGACATTGAAAAGGCCGAGAGCCATTCATCAAATCAGGACGATGACAGCGCCACAGTCCACGAGGACTCGGGCTTCGAGCCCATCCGCACGGGCGCCGCCGGTACACGGTCACTCCGTCAGTCAAGATCATTGACCCGGACGCGGTCACAAAACGGCTACAGCTGTGACGATTACCAAGAGGACGACAGCTCGCCAAGAGAACCGGAAAAGGACCAGTATGAAGTGACTTTCGAGGGCGGCGACAGCGATCCCATGAGTCCACGTAGTTTGGGCAAGGCGAGAAAGTGGCTCATTGTATCCATTGTATCGTGCGCGAGTTTTTGCGTGTAAGTGAAGTCAACCATCGACTCTGTAATGAGATGTTGACGTGCAAGACAGTACCGCTGCGAGCTCCATCTACACCTCGACGTATGCCCAGATGGATGCAGAATTCGGCAACTCCCGACTGGTGAGCACTATTGGCCTGTCAGTCTTTGTTCTCGGCATCAGCTTGGGCCCCATGTTCCTGAGCCCTCTCAGCGAGTTTTACGGACGCCGGCCCATCTATCTCGTCTCTTGGTCCATGTATGTCATCTGGATCATCCCGTCAGCAGTCGCCAAGAATATTGCAACTATGATCGTTGCCCGGTTTTTCGACGGTTTGTCTGGCAGTGCCTTCCTCGCCGTATCCGGTGGCACAGTGAGTGACTTGTTTGCTCGTCATGAGCTCCAAGCCCCTATGCTCATGTACTCACTTGCTCCCTTCATCGGACCATGCATCGGCCCGTTGATTGGTGGCTTCGTCAACTACAACGCACACTGGAGATGGACGTACTATGTCATGATCATCTGGGCTTTTGCGCTTTTGGTCGCCATTGTCGTATTCGTTCCTGAGACTTATCGTGAGTGTCCATGGAGGGTGCGCCCTCGGACTAGCTTGTCAGAGCTGACTTTTTGCTTCCAGATCCGATCGTCCTGCGGACCAAGGCACGCAAGATCCGAAAAGAGACAGGTGACGAGCGGTGGAAGGCCCCTGTTGAGAACATTACAAAGTCCGTCATCAAGACAATCGGCATCTCCTTGATGCGTCCCTTCCAGCTCATTGCCTTTGAACCCATGGTCCTCAGTCTCGACATCTTCTCGGCCATTCTCTTGGGTATTCTGTACCTTTTCTTCGGCGCATTCCCCCTCGTCTTCACAACGATCCATGGCTTCAACCTGTGGCAAGTCGGTCTCACCTTCCTGGGTATCCTCGTGGGCATGTTCCTTGCCGCCGCGACGGATCCCTTGTGGCACCGTATCCGTAGTCGACTCATGGCCGACTTGGAAAAGGAGACGGGCGTCGAGGGTGCCAGCGAGCCAGAGTTCCGCCTTCCACCAGTCATCCTGGGAGCCTTCCTCTGTCCCATTGGCATCTTCTGGTTTGGTTGGAGTCTTCATGTGCACTGGATCATGCCCATCATTGGATCCGCCATTTTTGGAGCTGGGTAAGTTCACATTTCCCTTCGCACAGCATCGCACCCATCATCCAAAGTTGGAAAAAGGCCCGTGGTTCCGCAACATGCGCATCTTGCTGCCGTGACAAGACAACCCCGTGGTTGCTTTGAGCAGGCCATCTGCAGGCTTCTGCAGGTTCATGCGCTGGCGTGTGCTTTCGGCCGTTAGGCATGCTTTGTCAGGCTTCCACGGAGCGTGGGGTGGTGTTGTTTTCCCATCTTGTATGCAGGAGTATGCAACTGACCGTCTTGATGTGCCGCAGAACTCTCCTCGTCTTCACTGGGATCTTTACGTTTCTTGTAAGTGGAATATGTCCCGCCAGCTCCCCGCTTGTGGCGTTCCAGGGGTTTGGAATCAGTCTCAGGCCCGGAGGTTACACGACAGGAATTGTGCTAAAGTTGGGGCTCACAGGTCGATGCTTATCCTTTATACGCCGCCTCGGCCCTCGCAAGTAATGCGTTTGTGCGATGCATGTTCGCTGGTGAGTTGCCCCGTGGCACCAACGCTCTCAACCACTCAGTTGGGAGGTGTCGTGTTTCGTTCGCGGTGCTGACTTGGACTTCCCTTTCAACAGCCGCATTCCCGTTGTTTGGAACGCAAATGTACAACAAGCTTGGATATTCCTGGGCTTCGTCACTGCTCGCCTTCTTGACGGTGGCCATGCTCCCGTTTCCATACATCTTCTTCAAGTATGGCAAGAAGATCAGAAGTCGCAGTCGGTTCGCCACGCGGGCGTGAGACAAGGCAGCAGAGGGCAGAAGTCCACAACGGACAAAAAGAAAGTTGACGAAGGTGACAATGCAACGAGAGATTCAGCGAAGGCCGGTGAAGGATCAGGCGTGGACGGCACCGCACAGACTTTCCGCATCGGTGTGGAGGACCAGCAAAGAGGCTGCCGGGCTGTGAATGGTTGACAGTGACCGCATGTCGCCTCGCTGCCGGTGTTGTTGGTCGTGGGTGCGCATCTTGCCATGATGAGCGCGTTCCTGACCCAGGCAGTCGAGCTGGGCTGCCACTCTGCATTATTGGACGACTAGTGAGCGGGAGTCGGCGCGCAGCAGATGCGGCTGTTGATCGCGTCGATCGTCATGAGGTGGACGGCAGTAACCGTCTGCAAGTGCCCAAGGTGTCGGGCTGTCATTGATGGAAAGGTCATCAGGCAGCCATAGCGAGGAAGTTGGATGGTAACGCGGCATACGGAGGCTGGCCGAGTGGCTGCCAATGACGGGCGAGAAGCCTTGTTTGATTTTGTGCTCACATGCAATGAGATACCCCGAGCGGTTGATGGGCTGCAGATGGATAGACAGACCGATGCTCGGCACGTCGGCTAGAACCAACATTAGTTAATGCGAAGATACCACCCTCATCCTCAGCGAGCCGTGGCACGTATAGCACTGTCACGACTGTCCAGGGAGGTGTGAAGCTGGGTGTAAGTCGTCACTCGGCCCTCGGCTTGGCTTGTCTTGGGACCAGGAAAAATGCGAACTGCGGATGTTGGATGTGGAGATCGTATTGGATCTCACATGCAGCAATGGGAACAGTGAGAATGCCAGATATCCAATAAAGTGGCTTGCAGTTGCGTCGCTAACGTAATGCCGTGCGACTGAACCTGGCCATATTGGAATCGTTGAGACCAAGGCGCAGCAGATGACAAACGGATGGTCATTGTTTCCTGGGTTCGAGTTCTGGTCTTGTCGTGGATGATGTAAGTTGACATGATGGAATTCAAATCGTGGGTGAGGTGAGCAGAATATGGCTTGGCCAACCTGGTCCGGATCCAGCTGCGGGGATGCAAAGTTGCGAGTGTGTGTCTTGAGGAGCCTTTGCTCGGATTGCACAGGTGCATAATATGTAAGGCAAGGTATTCTGCAGGAGCAGGCGGCAGGCATGTGTCCGACTTTTCAACTACCCCCTTCCTTCCTTGAGGTATCCGTAGTACCTACCTACCTTACCTTATGTACGGTATTAAGTCCAAGAAAGTACAGACGAAGATGGGTTGTTTCCGTTTCTGTTCGGAACTACCGTACTGCCTTCCACAGTCCACAACGGTTACTGCAAGTCCGACTGTCCGTCACCTTAGTTTGGATGGATGCGACGGGAAGGAGAGAAAGTCACGCCAAAAGTGTCTCCGACCCTGCCTATGGTGCCACGGGCGCCAACTACCTACCTACACCAACGGGAGACTCGAGGACCTGGATGACTGTGCAGCCGTAACAGCGTTCCGTCGTGGGAAGGACAGACTTGTGCATTGTATTATATACATTTTCAACATCCCACTTTGTGTGGTGCTTCATGTAGCAGGAACTCATAAGGCACGAAAAGTGGATTTCTCGGCCGGTGCACCCACATTCCCCCTCGGCCCAACGAATGACGAGTGTGACATTTTCTCCAAGAAAAACCCCGCAGCTCAGCACGCAAATCTTTGACCAACAGCAGCGAGGCTGGGGCATCCGTTTTCTCTTTGGGCCTGTTAACTGCTGTATTTCACTTACCACCTTACGGATACTGCCCGTAACTTTGGTACCTTGTCTATCCCGTCCCTCTCGTTTTCTTTACCGACCGCCGCCAGCTCTGACGACAAACCTCTCGCGTGCTCCTCTTCCACCCGACCGAGGATAAACATCACGACTCCAAAATCTGCCCCGACCTCCCGACGACGCCGCTTTCCCCTCAATTGCGCCGCTGCGCTTGCGATCGAGAACCTGCGAATGCGATCCGCCCTACCAGTGCTACTTATTGCAAAGTAGCCCACCAAACTCCCGTACCGCGTGTCAATGCTTGCATCAGACAAGCACAGGGACTACGGCTTCCTGCATATACCATTTACTCTCTCGACCTCTAAAAACCTCCCTCACTTCACCCCGGCCCAGCGCCGTCAGCCGGCTATCCGCCCAGCGACTCTGTCTACCACCTTGTCCCCGCGACCTCATGTGGTCCGCGACGCGAACACCGGTCTCGAGACGACTGCGCCAACCATCGAGTCCAAGGGACCTAGTCCTGTCGTGACGAGCACGTCGCACGAGAAACGCCTCTTTCCTCTCCACCAACTCACTATTGGAGACTCCTGACTGCTGAGGATACGAGCTGTGGGAGACCCAAGGCTCGCCGCCTCCGTTCTTTCTGCCCTGCTCTGCTTGTAAGCCGCCTGCCCCCCCCTGCGGCGCAAAGAGAACCAAAAGAGAGAGGGAGAAAACAAGGCTCTACCCGACCTATATCGCGGGAGCGCACAGCGCCTATTTCTGGCCCTATTCTCCCATACTACGTCGTCGCGGGAAACCATTGTCCGGCTCGACTCCTATTCGCAGACTCGAACTGCCACTACGCACACGGGTCTTGGAGATAGTTAGTCACGCAGTGGTGGTGTACTTTGAGCTGTGTGTGTGGCAGCAGCCCAGCTAGAAAGAACCCCGGCCTGTGTCACTCTACACCAACACAGGAGGGATTTTCTGCTTTCTTTCCTATTATACGACGCCTATCCAGCGCGACGCCGGGCCCGCCCACATACGTTTGAAAGTGAGCCGTGTGGTTTCGCAAACGGACCATCAGCGACATTCGTGGACCGGGGCTTGCAGTGCCGTGCCGTGCCGTCACTGCGCCAGCTCCCGCGCACGCCGTTATCACATTTCTGCCCAAGGGGAGGCTTGTATATATAAATCCACGACACCATGCCTGACGGCCAGGACGACACCGGGCCAGAGGTCTCGGATGCCATGTCAGATAATGACCACGACTACGACGACGACACCCCCGTAAGAGACGACGACGACGAAAAGATGGCTGAATCTCACGACAGTGGCGCCGATACCAACGGCGAGGTCAAGAAGAAGTACGATCCCAAGGATCCGTCACGACCAAGGAGGAAGAAGGCTCGCCGGGCGTGCTTCGCCTGCCAACGAGCCCATTTGACTTGCGGTAAGCTTTGCCCGATTCCTCAGGGTCCGGCTCGCGATAGTCTCTGGTCAAGTGAACACCCGTGAAGTCATGTAATGCTTTGACAAAAACCCCGTGGTAACCGGGGTTTAGCTGCCTACTCCACTCACATGGCCGTCTGCGATGCAACCTTGCTGATGGGATGGCTACAGGAGATGAACGACCTTGTCAGCGATGCATCAAGCGTGGACTCGCAGAGGCTTGCCAAGACGGCGTCCGTAAGAAAGCAAAGTATCTGCATGATGCTCCGCCCGAAGCTCTACGGCCCGTACTAGGTCCGAACTACAACCCGAACGCGGCGCCCGCCCGCCCCAACGGCCAACGGCATCACAGCGGGGCCTCGGATACGGCCTCGACAGCAGGCAGCACGTATTTTGGTCAGAGCTCAACCGCATCATTCCCCGTGTACTCGGGCCAGCAAACGCCTGTCGGCATCCCCGATGGCCTGCCGTATCAGGCGCAACCATCGCCGATATCACCGTCTTTTCCGCAGCCGAGCAACACTGCTCGATCCATTGGCGGCATGATCTCGCCGCAGGTCGCCAACGACCCCTTTAATACGTTATTCGATCCAAGCAACCCAGCAATCTTCAACTTTGATCTGGAAGGGCTCAACTTTGGCAGCCAGTACGGCGCCATGGAGTTCGGCATGCTAGGGCACATGTCATCAGGCGCAGCGGAGACCCCTCCGCGTGACGGCTCCCTGTCAGGACCAAGTGGTGAAGTCAACTTTGGATCCACAAACGTCTTTGGCAACAATGGCAATAACCAGTTTGGCCAAGTATACGATAGCGGTATGATCAACGATTTCATGGGTGTAGACCAGTCTTCCAACGGCATGTACCAACAAGGCAATCTGCAACATGGCCTTCCACATGCCTACGCCATTGCTGCTGGCCCAACAAGCCTACATAGTCCAAGCACAGACAACACCGCCAGCCCGCAACCTACTAACTTTACCTTTGAAGGATCTCCAAGTGGGAACTTTGGCGCTGTTGGAAACTCCCAGACCATAACCGCCCCGACGCGGCCCAAAGCAAAGACCGGCGCCCCTCAAAAGAGCGGCCCTCACACGCTGCTCGGCAAGAGGCAGCGCGACCCTTCCTCCATTTACGAGACCGTAAAAGAGCCGTATCCGTATCTCGCCGGCTTCCACGCTCTCATCGACTACCTGCCGAAACGCTTCTCGGCCAATATGACGCTGCGCATCGCAAAGGCGCTCGCCAGCATTCGCCCGTCATTTATAGCCTGCACCAAGACCCTCAGTCGCCAGGATCTCATCTTCATGGAGAAGTGTTTTCAACGCACTCTATTCGAGTACGAAGAGTTCATGCACCACACCTCGGCGCCCACTATTGTCCTCCGCCGTACTGGCGAGATTGCCGCCGTCAACAAGGAGTTCATCGCTTTAACAGGCTGGACCAAGGATGTTCTCCTCGGGAACGACCCCAACTTGAACGTCAACACCGGCGGTACCGGGTCGACGACCAACAGTGGCCGCAATACTGGCCGTGCGGGCTTCTCAACGCCAAAGGCACCCGCCGCAACGCTTGCCGACCAGATCAAGAATGAGAGCGGACCACGGAAACAGCCCGTCTTCATTGCCGAGATCCTCGACGATGACAGTGTGGTTGAGTTTTACGACGACTTTTCGCATCTTGCTTTTGGCGACAGCCGAGGCAGCGTCAACCGCACATGTCGGATCCTCAAGTACCGCACGAAAGAGCAGACGGAAAGCGCGGCGTCGTCAGACATGACGCCGCAGCAGGACCCGCGCAAGAGCATACTCAGCAACCGCGTTACCCGAATCGATGGCGAGCACGGCATCTCAAAAATTGAGAAGGACGGCAAAGTGGACTGCCGGTATTGCTGGATGATTAAACGAGACGTATTCGATATCCCCATGTTGATTGTTATGAACGTGAGTATCTCTGCTCTTGAGAGTGTGGTTGTCGAAGAAGACATGTACTGACAGACTGCAGTTTCTTCCATGCTATTCCCAGAATAAGGAGACTCATGGACTGGCTGTGTGAGGCGAGGTACTAAAAAAAGGGGCGATCAGAGCACACAAGAGGGAGGGGAGAGGCATTGGAGGCGTTTTTCACTTTGATTCAAAGGTCCAGTGTGTTCTCTCGTCATTTGTTTGACATTACCATTTCTCGTTATAGGGAGAGGCCGGGAAAGGCGCATCTTTGCGGAAAGGATTGATCGATGGTCATATAACTCATTCTTTCCTTCACGATACTTCACTTCAGCCAACAACCCCTCGGGGAAGAGAGGGGAAATACCCAAGGACCCTATATGTTTTGGACAGACAGAACCTTTTCTCGAATGAATGCAATCTTCTATATTTCTAACGCTTCGTTTGTTTGTTGTTTGTGTACCTTTTGTGAAGAGACTTCATAATCATGAGAGGTGGAATGAGACAAGGATGTGACGTGATCACGAGAGATTTCGGCTTCTCGTTTTTTGCAGAGCCTAAGCCTTGGGCAGCTCCTCAACCAGCCACTTGGCATCGAGCGTCCCGTCCACGGTGCCCTTGGGCCGCAGCGCCTTGGGCGGGTGCCACGCGTCCCTGGCGAGCGAGGTCCTGGCCACCTCGCAGTCGGTGTTGATGTCCGCGACCAGCGCCTCGAGGCTCTTGTAGTCGAGCTCGTCGCGGACGAAGCCCAGGATCAGCAGGCGCATGTGGGCGTCGTAGAAGTCGGCGGAGAACTTGTGCAGGACGTGGACCTCGGCGGAGCGGACCGTGTTCTTGTAAAAGGGGTTGTAGCCGATGGACATGACCATGGGGTAGAGCTGGAAGTCGACGTGCGGCTGCGCGGGGCCGGCGCCGGCGGTGGAGGACGTGCCGGGGGCGGCGACGCGGTCCGGGTGCGAGGCGGGCAGGGAGAGGGAGGCCCAGCCGAAGTAGACGCCTGATTTTATGGTGTCGATCCAGGGGGTGAGGGAGGCGTCTACGGGGAGGTTTGCGGTTGGGATGCCGAGCTGCGGTGGGGTTGGTAAGTATTGGGATGGAGGTTTGGTGAGATGTTGTGCTCGGGGAGGATGATGGGTAGATGAAGAAGTATGGGGGGGTGTGAGTTTGGGGCGTTTTGTGTAAAGATCGTGAGAATGAGCAGAGCAAGAGATGAAATCGTCGGTGAAGTGGTTGCCTTGGAAAAAGCCGTGACCGACTTACCTCCTTGGACCCCCGACCGAAGCCAGAGATAACCTTGCCTTCCATCTTGTACGGGTAAGGAGCCTCCGGGCCCGACTCGGGGCCGACGATGAGGGGACGAGTTGTCTCTGTTGCCACCATCTTTGCTGTTTTTGGTTTCTCCTGGCTTCTCTCTTGACTATTTTTTGTGCACACTGCCCTCTGTGTTGAGAGGTGGTTGAAATATGCGGTTGTCGCGATGCTGATTAATCCAACACCGAGGTGAGTGAGTGAGATTCTCAACAGTAAGCCTGGGGGAGCTTGGTATCTGGTAAATGTGTTAATTCAGGGGAATCAGACGCAACGAGGTAGCATAGCTTACATTGAAAAGAAGTTTGCGGCTGTAAGAAAATATCTCAAGATTTTTTCCCCAAGTGTGAAAGTGAGAAACGTCAGACAGATTGCGACATTGGGTGAGAAGAGAGCCGCTTCGATGATGAGATGAAGGTGGTGGTGGGGCTGCGGGATGAAATGGAGGGGTCGTCGTTCCGGTGTGACTGATTGGAGTCGGAAGGTCCAATGCGGGCGATTCGGGCGGCTTCGATAAGGCTCGCGCGAGAGAGAGAGAGAGAGGGTGCAGGTGCAGGTGCACCTTGCACCTGCCCTGGTGCGTTATCGATTTTGCGATCGGGAGGGGCACGACGTTGCGCCGACCAACCTCAGTGGGGCCTCCCTCTCTCGCCTTTTGGAGGGGGAAAGACAAGCCGGCAGGCAGGCCGGGGGGCTGCCGTATGACAATGCAGTCATCTTCTTTGCTTATTCTCTGGTCCGATGATTTCCACAGATTCAATTGATTCGTCCCGTGTAAGTGTAAGACGTGAGCAGGTTGATCATAGGAAGCACAAATGACTACATTTCCCAAGAAGTAGATCCATTATATAAATAAGTAGATGAATACTTGACATTCTGTTGCCTAGACGTAAACTTTCTTCGTTTATCTAAAGACAATTGGGTGGTATTTCTCTTACACGAGGGGATATCAACAAATTCCAGCAAAACTAATCAAATCCGACAATATCATCAAGGGGAAAAGGAAAAAAAAAATTATCGCGATGTTGCTGATGGCCTCGTCTCTCAACGTTCCCACTGACAACGGATAAAGACAAGATTCGTGATTCCACACGAAACAAGCTTTTCTCCGCCCGAACCGTTTGTCACCCATCATCCGCGATACCCGTGACCTGTGTCTCTTGCGTCGCCATAACCACGATTAAAGATGCCATTGGGCCACAAGCAGAGTGTAGCACCTGGCCGGAACGCCGTGATACCACCGAAACATCCCGCGAGACGAGACAGATGGCGCGAGACCAGGAGAGGAAAAGAATAATTCCGACGAGGGGCGTACCTGTCCTCCTGAGGAGGTTTGACCTTGGCTCTTTGGGTGTCACTGACAAACACCCGTCTGAACCTCCCCGAGACCTAAGACCGGGGCCAGGCGCCGTGCTTCCACTCGGTCCGCCCAAGCCTCACAATCTCGGGCGCCTCAATGACCCACAGACCGGCAGGCGCCTTGCCCTGCTCGACGAGGACGGCAGCGTGCACAGCAGCGCGGGCAATCACCTCGGCCTCCTGGCCAAACGTATCCTGCGCTCCCCGGTGCAGCATACCCAGCCCGCGAACGACGGACTGGAACACGCCCTCGCCGGCGCGGCTCTCTTCGCGCGCGCCCAAGATCAGACCAGGCTTGAGGATGATGCCGTGGTCGAACCCGGCCTCCTTGATGGCGTCCTCGACGCCGTTCTTCATCTTGCTGTAGGGCGCCTGAGCGCTCAGCGCGCCGCGGGTGCCGCCGCTCGAGATGAAGATGAAGGCCTTGGAGCCGGCGGCCTTGGCGGCTTTGACGAGCTCGACGTTGAGGTCGTGGTCGATCTTCCACTGGTCGGCGATGCTGCCGGCCGCCGCGCGGGTGGTGCCGAGGGCGGAGAAGACGACGGTGGGGGTGGGCTGCAGGGCGGCGAGCTTCGGGGGCCAGGCCGATGTGTCCTGCTCGATGACGGGCTTGAGGGTCAGGCCGCCGGCTTTGGGGGGGCGGCGGGAGATTGTGTTGACGGCGGCGAAGGCTTCCGAGGTGATGAGGTTTCCGAGGATGTGGGAACCCACGAGGCCGGTGGAGCCGATGACTGCGGCGTTGTGCGCCATTGTGTTGTGTTTGGGGTTGTTGTTTTGTTAGAATTTGGATCAGATCGGAGTAAGACTGTTTTTTGCTGTAGCTTTTCCCTTTGTCGCTATGGAACAGAGAGAAGAAGAAAAGGTGAGATGATTGATACGACGAAGATGTCGGGTCCGACGGGTTGGGTGTCTGGCGCAGTGGTAAACGGGTATGGTTGTCTGTGATGCTGCAGCGGTTGGCGCTTCTTTCCTGTCTGTGGGAAAAAGAAGAAGAAGAAGAGAACAAGTTGGGAGAGAGAGAGGCGCGAGAGCAGAGTGCAGGACGTCTGTGGGATAGGTTGATGCGGACTTTATGAGAGCTTGGCTGGCGCTGGAGCTTTTTCGAACCCTAATGAAGTTTGCTTGATCTTTACAATGTCTGTGTGTACTTGGTGAGACAAGGCCGTGAGAAGGGGGGGCGTGGTGATTTAAAGACGAGGCTATATGAGGGGAGTGCGAGACTGAGCACAGAGGGATGGATGAAGCGTAAGGCTATTGTACCTTTTGACGGTAAGTCTTAGGCAAAGAGACGGAGAGGTCGAGAGTAGACGCGTGTGCTGGTTGACGAGCTGGAGCGGAAGAGGCAGGCTGTCGAGCAATGTTCCTTGGATATGACGACAAGTTGGCACCTGCGTCTACGACTGGAGACCGTTGACAACTAGGATGGTACTTGATGGGGAGGGGGTGTTTGCGAACTACAGCGGGGGGGAAGAGAAGCCCCAAAAGAAAGAGACGATTGCGAAAAGTTGGAATGGTTTGTCTTTCAAACTTGGACAGGGGAGGCCGGAGCGGCTTTCTACTTATCTCTTGAGCGTCTAGTTGCTCCCTCTGCGGAAAGTGCAAGTATAGAGGTTATTGCAGATGTCTTTGGATTACAAAGAAGGCTCCACTCTCTTAACGCCGTCACGGTAAAAGAAGTAGAAGTAAGTACAAGGTAGCGTCGATGTGGAATGACGCCGGGGAGACCGCCTCGTGATCACGACAACGGCTTCTCCACGCTCGGGGTTCCACATCAGGTTCGCAGAGTCTCGAGCTTTTCGTCTCTGATTTTGAGAAAGGGAGGGGGGTTCACGGTTCACCTTGAAGTCCGTATTGGCCTTACTTGGCGGTTACTCATCTACACCTACACCGTGGAGCACAATCTCGCATTCAGGCAAAACGGCCTTTGCATGAACTTGAAGAATGCCAAAGCACATTTCACACATGACTAGTAGCTACGTACTCGGCTAGAAAGCCCTGCCTACCTTACCCTACCTTGGTCATGCTCTATGTCCTTCCAGCCTTTTTTTGACCGCAAATCCGACGAGACGTTTTGGGTCTTTAGGAAGCGATAACGAGAACCGAAGAAAGACAAAAAGAAAAGGACGGGGGAAGGAAGCCGAGACGGAAGACCTCGAGCTGGGAAAAGTCCGCAAGTCATGCAGAGCTCCGCCTTACACGGAGAGCTCGGTGGCTGCTTAACGCCGGATGGTGGATCTTCTCTCTCTCCGTCCAGATATGATCTGGTCAGCTCCTCAAGCCTCCCCGAGACATTGTTCTTTCTAAAAGAAATTAAAAAAAAATTGACTGGCTTATTGAATATCAGTGGTAGATAGCCTCCGATGACTAGTGTTCAAACTTTCAGTGGCACCTTTCAAACTCAGCCTGTAAATCTGCAACGAATGGTGTAAGTCTCGCCTTTTCGGCGTTAAGGCCCACACTGGACGGACGTGGGGAACGCGGACAGTCCGCCGAATCGTAAACTCCACCACCGCGGAATCCGCGACTGCAGAATGCGGAATTTCTCTCAATTGGAGGTCGTTCATCAGCAAGACCTTGGTAACGGCTCTCCGGGGAATCTGGAAATCATAACGAGGAGAGTAGCAAGTTGTACTAAGCCGAGAGGTAGAGTTTCCTCCGATGGGAAGTCTTTGACTTGGTACCTGCTGTCGTACGTTCAACCGATGAACATTTTGAAGAGACCTTGCAACACTGGGAAGAATTTTATGACCTAAGAATCTGAAGGAGATCAATCAATTATAACCATCTTATGGAAGAGTATTTCATTGAAGTTACAGAGATGGAGGCTTGTCAGAGTTGAAGAGAAAATTAGGTGAGATTGCTCAAGATGAGAGAGGTGGATGAAGCAAAGGCAAGGCGAGCCAGACTAACGCGGGGTGCCTGATCCCTGCAGCCGAGCTCCACGCTAGAAGCTCTCCGAGGTGGGCTCCGACTCCAATCCCCCGCGGAGGCTGGAGCTCGCTGCTTTTCCCCTCACCTTTTCCAATTTCTCCCACCCGTCCATCCCACCACCCCGCGTTGACCGAGACGTGCGACACCGAACGACTGCCTAGGCCACATCATCGCGGCAGCCTCCATCCTTGAACCAACAAAACCAAGCCAACCACCTACGTCCTCGTCCTCCAACCCAACCTCGATTCCTGGGTTCTATCGGTGGACCTCTATCCAGAGCTCAGTCTGACCTCGTCGCTCTCCCCAGACTCATCACACAGAAAGATCTGCCAAATCGAAGCAGCAGAACAGCCGCCCGCCATGGCTACACAATACGAAGGTATACCAATAACCCCTCCTATGCTCTCCCCAAACTCAATTCAACAACGACTAACCCCCCCAATCAGTCGAGCACAACATCAAGCCCGGGCCCTCAACCCAAGACGGAACCCGCCGCATCGACATGTCCTCCTTCACCTCCTTCCTCTCAAACCTCACAACCGACAACCACGCAGCCGCCTCCGCCGCCGCCGCCGCCCACCACAACCCCCACGCGACACCGACCCCCGTGGACGCAGCAGCCCTCTACACCCTCCTCCAACAACAATTCCAAACCCTCTTCTCCACCGCGCCCAACACCCAAAACGCGGCCTTCCTCTCTTCCCTCGTCGAGGCCCTCGAATCAGACATCTCCTCCCCGCCCACCGAGATCCCGGGCGTGTCCCACGAGTACCTCGACTCCCTCGACCGCGTCCCCAAGAAGTCCCTCAAGGAAGACGAGGCCTGCCCGATCTGCGCCGAAAAGTTCCTCGACGACAAGTACCCGCTCGTCGTCGAGCTCCCCTGCCACAGCAGCCACCGCTTCGACCTCGAGTGCGTGAGCCCCTGGTTGAGGAGCAAGGGCAGCTGTCCGATGTGTCGCAAGGATTTGACCAAGAAGAAGGAGCCTGTTGTTGTGGTGGATGATGATGAGGAGAATGATGATCCTGATGGATTGTATGCGTAAAGGCTGCCAGTGTGGCTTCGGTGTGGATTGGGATTTGCGAGAAGAGAGAGAGAGAGAGAGAGAGAGAGAGAGAGAGAGAGAAAGAACGAGATATCATCGGCATGACGATTGGCAGACGACAGGCGCGCGGTGGGAAGGGGAGTAGGGGACATATCGAATTCGATTGGAAGTGAGTGGTTTGGCGTTGAGGCTGCATTTGCTATTCCCCGTGCATATTACGACGACTTGAGAAGAGTCGGAAACCGAGGGAGAAAAGGAAAAAGAAACACAAAAAAATACAAAAAAACAACAACAATGGGACGACCGATCGAGGAATCGAACTTGGATCCCGAAATAGACAGGAGTCTTCACTGCCTAACCGGGGCCTCTGCAGCCCGATTAACCCCTCGACCATACGGCCCAGGTACTTGTTGTTGACGGGTGGTGATGATTCATCGGCTATGGAGCCTCGCGAGGCTGTCTGATGAGTATTCTGCGGCGGGTAGGTCATATCCCAGGCGGTCAAGGTAGTGAATCACTCGGGTGTCCTGGATCACGCATACACTAGCCCCGCCTTCAATTTCCACACGTATAGCACACGAGATATCTAGGTCCATGGTAGGGAGCTAAGTAATGCGCATGGTATACACCAGGACTGGGGATTGATAGCTCAGGATACACACACACACACACACACCTGGCTTGAACCACCTAGGTAGGAGGCCTGCCTTGTCAGAAGTCTTGTGCCTTCCTGTCCTAACAACAAGTATCGGGCCTTGGTGACCGAGGGGTGAAAGCCGTGAAGTGCCGACTAGTGCGTGATGCTCCGTACTCTTCAGGGCTCCTGCGCTCGAACCTCGATCGGCTCCTGTCGTTTTTGCTCTTCTTTGCTGTTGTGACTGTTTCCATGGATTCTGTCTTGTGTGCAGGCAAGCAACCACAATTGTTTATAGTCCAGCACCAAGAAAGATGCCGGGTGAACTCAGAAGCTGCCTTCCGTGTTTCCTCAATGGTCATGTAATGAAAAGCCGAGACAGAAACGATATCTCTCCCGGTCCGGATGCTGATGATACTGATATTTTCCGTTACCACCTCTGCCATGCCATGCTATGCTATCTTCCTCCTCACCTCCCAGCCAATCCCAACCCCCTTCCTTCTCGCCATGAATCTCCCACCCCCTTCGCCAAACCCAACACCAAGTTTTCCACTCCACGAGAGCAACCCTCACGCCTTCCCAGCCTTGGGCGCACTCCCAGCACCGCTACTCCCCTCACCGCCCCCCTCCTTCCGCCCAGCACCCTTTCCGCCCGGGTTATCCCCCTGCGGCTTCGACGCGGCCTGGTTCGCGCCGCTAACATCAAGCGTGCCGCTGTCCTCGCTCTTCTCTCCCTTGGGCCGCGTCGTCGACGGGTCAAACGCCTCCTTCTCGTGCGCCACCTCCGTGTCACGGCCCGTCTTGGTCCCCTCGTTAGAGGCCGGGTTCAGGGACTCGCGGTCCTGGGTGTCCTTGTACGCGAACCTCGTCGTCGAGGATGCCGTGAAGGGTCTCGTCGCGGTCGCGGGGATCGAGGCGCGGCATGACGTGCGGGCCGCTGTTGCGCGGAGGGTCAGGGTGCGGAGGAGAGCTTGGGAGGTCATGGTTGTGGTTTTGTGGTTGTAGTCTTACGGTTTATGGTAATGGGGGGCGAAGAAGTATGTTATGAACCAGAGAGGCTGCGTCTTTCTCGGCGTGGAATTGTAATGGCAATTGAAGAATCGAGGTTCCGAATGATGGAAATACTCCGCGTAGAGGTTAGCAAATGAATTGCAATCACGACATAGGACTGTGAGGGAGGAGCTACCTTAGCTACCTTACGTCGAGATGCTCTCATTCGGGACCGTGACGTCATCCATACGTTTAGCCAGACCAGACAGGTGCGACTCTGGCCACTTGCGGCTTACCCCGGATTCTCATCAAATCAATAATCATTCTTATTTTCACCACCTACTTGCATGGTAAGTCTCCATCCTCGGACTGACTGCAAAATCAGCAAAGAATGACATGTGTATACCGGGCAATTGGACCAGGAGCTGGCGCCAACCTAGCTCTTCCAAGTGCCTCTAGATACCGTAGCTACCCATAAGCTATTCCGGTGAGCTTAACAAGATCTCTTCATGTCACCTTGCACCACCAGCAAATCAACTTTGAAGCGGCTCAATCGCCGACAGTCGATGCCCTGCCAAGAGGTTGAGCTTCTACGTTTGTTCGGAATGATCCAAAATCTTGCGCCGTCTAGCGTTTACGGCCGAGTTGACCAGATGGCGCTCTCTGGAGAGCGCCGCATTCGGACTTGGTCTTGACGCCACGCACTGAATGGAAGGCTTGCCTTTATCAAATCGTTTCGATCTCGGTCCAATCCGGTAGAAAATTGGCAACATGCGTGTTCGTCCACGGGTAACAGAGAAGGCCTAGACGACTATTGATTGGTCTTGTGGTCGCAAAGTCGACTTGCGCCATGTCTGCATCTCATCGAGGCAGTCTGATCGATATAGTATAATATCCTCATCCCCAATATTCCTCTTTCTTGCTAGCTATTGACGTTTGAGATTGCTGCAGATCGCATCACGTCCAACAAGAGCGACTAAGCCGTTGGGAGTGGCTGACCAAGGGGCTCAAACGCCATGCTGCGATGTTGTCGTTGCTCTGCACATTATTAGCAAAGGCCTGACTGTCGCTGTTGCTCCCCGTGTCTGAAGCTGTAGATCTCGGCCGAAGCGATGCTTGAGCCCATTAGTGCTTGATTCGCTGAATACCTCGGGTGGCGCGGGATGGCTGCGTGACAAGTCCGAAGGCAGTCGGCCAAGCGGACTTGCATCCTTTCAGACATTAACGTTACCACCCACGCAAATTCCGAGGCTTGGCTTTCGGGGTGCCCATTGCTTTGAGTCCACAACTCTTACAAGGACCAAGCCACGATCGTTTGCGCCTCCTCCAGGAACGATCTTGAAGTTGTCCATAAGCCGGGTTATCCACTGCAATGTTCCTCCTAATCCTCGCAGGATTTGGGACTCGACGATATTAGTCCAAACGCCCGGATGTGTGATCCCATTTTGACAGAAATAGGAGGCGGCACAGCGCCGATGATGGCGCGTGCAGAATGAGGTTGCAGACAACGATGACTGTAGACCATTTTCAGGTTAAGCGCAACACTGGTTGACACTACCTTATGCCACACCATATGCGGACTGAAATGAGACCCATGTTTAGGATCCTGCTGGCCAATTCATCCAAAATCTGTCCATGTCAATGTGGTATATGCCGTATGTAAGACGACCACTTACTTGTGATGATCGTTTGTTCTTCTACAGCCTTGTCGTCCGGGTGGTCCTGAAGTAAGCAATGCCACCCGCCCCCCTGGTGCGGCGAGCCTGGCGGCCTTGTGTCTCCCGGCTGACCGGCGAGAGCCGAGATTGTATGCATTGTCAAATTCAGGGCCATGCAGCAAGTTGACATGGTTTCCACGCTAGCCAGGCGAGCTCGAGGCCAGTTTTCAAACGGAGAAATTTCGAACAAGCATTTTAGACAGCAGTCCGACTCTTTTGCTGATATGGAAGCAGGGGATCGAGCGTCGCACTCTGCTTCTCGACACGCGACTCGCGAGGAAGGCTGATCGGCCGTATACATGACCGAATCCCATTCACCCGATATTCCCATTTCGTGAGACTCATTGTTGTGTCTGCAGCAGCTGGCCATTCGGCGTGTGCGTGCAGTTGTTCCGGCTCGCCACATTATACAATGCAACGTCGAGGGTCGCGCTGCGGACCCAGGTTTGGTTGCTTTCACATGACTTCTCATGTGCCATCAAGCCTTCCAAGTATCAGTAATAGCGACCCCGTTTCAAAAATGGAAGGTGGGCAAGCTTAAATATATTGAATACGGGGTTAGTTTAAAATGAGGCTCCTGACAGACGCGTCGAGATGTCAAAAAATCGATACGACCAATGCGTGCGGCCTACCATGGAACTCGCGGGGCGCCGTTGGCCCCTGCTTATGGGGCCTGCCAGACTAGGCGAAGGGGGCCGACTTTCGCGGCAGTATTGTTTTGGGTTTGAATGTGATCTGCGGGATCAGCAGCGTTAAGAAGCGAGGCCTGCAAAGAAAAGTCCACCACGACGTTATTGCCGGCGGAAAGTCCTCAGATGAGCCGCGACGGCAGAAGGTCTGCCTGGCTGCCAGCGTGTCATCAGGTGTCAAATGTCGGATAAGGGGGAGCCTAGGGGATCGCGTTGCGCGTTTGACACGGAGATGACCGGTGATGGATGTTCGCGGGTAGGCTCCTCCAGTTGGAACTCTGAAACGGAGCCTGCAGATGTTGGGATGATCTTTCTGGTCGGCATTGCGCATGTTGAGAAGACTGTGCCTTCCATGCCTTCCGCTGCTACCGGAAGTCTGTTTGTGGCATCTTTGTCATTCGGGACTGCGTATATTCGAGATTTGAATCAACAAGAACTTGTCTCTTTCGGGTTACGGCGGTTGCAAAGGGGTGGTTTTCCCTCTCCTTATTTTGGATATTTCGACATGTGCATGTTTGACATGCATGACGGGGCGTGGCGTTGAACGGAAAGGCTGTCTTGTTTGGTCTTTTGCTCCGACAGCGGTTACCATCGCAGCACCTCAGCATGTCGAGGCTGACGTCCCGTCTGCACAGGGTCCTATCGGGACCCGCGTGGCCCAGTGGAGGACAGGCGGGAAAGAGACGAGTCGCTAATCTGGGACGGCAGGAAATCTAAGGGGCAGAATTCTTCCAGAAGGCCGCACAATGTTCCTATTCCATGGACCACATCGGCTCAATGTCTCGGATTGATCCAGCCCTGCACGTCGTTGTAAAGGTGGAACCATCGTCCGTCAAGGGCGAACATGGCGGCACGATGTATGCAACTGGTGTTGAAGAGATACGCAATACAACCATTCCCGAGTACTAGTTGGAAGCGCAAAAAGGACTGCATTCGCCGTGGAATTCCCCTACTAAGTCGACCAGCCCTGTCTCGTGGTGGATTGCACGAATACAGGCGGCTACGCACGAGCTTTGGCGTAATGTCGGTGCCGATGAGTCCTGATTAGTAGCGGTCACACAGCCAGACGCGCCGACGGGGGGAAACATCTCTTGCAGGGTTTCGTCCGGCCCACGATGGCCACGAGTCGTACTCCGTAGGATGTCGGACCTGCCAGCCCTGGAAGGAAGTGGAGGTCGTACCTAGCAAGATGACGCATCGGTACTGCGAAATTGACGAGGCGCCATGACACGATATTCTGGGCCGTACTGATAGAATTGAAAAGTATTGTCACGGTGGCTTGCCATGGCCAGCAGTTGGGCCTCTGTAATCGAGTTTGCGGCAGAGCGGCCCAAAACTCCAAGCAAGATTGCGGGAGGTGGGATACGGATACGGCTGCACATTCTCCGCACGTGGCTGGCAAGGATGCCACATTGAATTGTTGCCGCCTACATATTAACCTGGCCTGAAAGCGGCAACGCTCCTATGCGCCGCCCGTTTGCAGGGCGGGATGCAGTTGGCTGTGGTAGCATCCGTGTTTTCTGTGTCAGCTTCTGTGGGTGTAGGAATGCGGGAATGCGCTAGTTTGACGCTGGGTTTCCATGCTCTCTGGGTTGTTGGTTTCCAGGACTGCGTTTTCGTGCCAATAGTGGATCTGACTAGATGGATCGAGGTATTGATTCCAGCGTCTTGATCCAAGCATGTTGCTACTTGTCAGCAGATCCGACGACCGATAATTTGTGGCATTGCGGATCTTCAATGCTCCGGTAGCTCCGCTACGTTCATGATGAATGCTATAGAAACGTTGTACACTCGGAAGCTCAGAACAGGCCCAAGATGGATCCATCGAAGAAGAAAAAAAGACAGCATGGAAAGCTAAAGTTCCTAGGCTGGGGGACCGAGATGCTCGAGACTCGGCCGGCTCGCTAGGCCAAGGTCCGTTCGAGACCCGGGGCAGTTCATCGGCGGTTGGCCTCGTGGCGACGGCACCTCATTCTGAGCGGCGGGCATGGCGTGGGACGCCGCGTGCGTTGTGCCCTCTTGTCATGACTGGCCATGGCTGCAGCTGGCAAGGCTCGCGGGGGAGCGGATGATGTGCCTGCGGGCTGAGGCAAGAATTAGCTTCTTCCGATGTCCAGCTAGTGCGATGGACTTTGTCGTTCTTGGGACTTTTTGCCCCAATTCGTTGTTGGCCAGGCTCAGACCTCAGAGACAGAGACAGGATGGTCTAAGGTAGATGCGGAAGGTTATGCGGACATCGAGAGACACTAGGGATTTGGTCAAGTCGAGGCTGGCGGCTGCTGGTTCAGTTGATGCTTGAGATCGACTGGATGTTCGTTCGAGCTGCCCGTTTCAAATCGAGTCTCGAGCCCAATGTTACCGAAAGAGCAGCTTCAAAGTTTGGTTGAGCCCCGGTGCCGACGCAGAAATAGACAGACGCACCGTTGTGCCCTGCCGGTACAGACTTGCTATCCAATGTGTAGTCGATGTCATGGGGTAAACATTTTGATTCTGCAACTATCCGAGGAAATGATGGGCAAGGCCCTCAAGTGATGTGCGATTGAACGTACGTACCATGCGACGAAGCAGTCAGCAGGAATTGTCTAC